GAGAGGATGGTATAGGATAATAAATTCCCACGTGAATGGAGAGCAAAAAAAGCGAAGGTAAAGATAAACTGCCAGCTCAGACCACTTCTATGTGCACGTACTCATTTACTTGCTCCTGTGGAACAGGTTATATCGGTCGCATGAGTCGGCGCTTATCCAAAAGAATACGGGAGCAATTTCCGGCATGGCTGGCCAAAGGTGAAGTCAGAAGCATCAACAGCGCCATCCTTGCCCACGTGTTTGACTCCGGACATCGTGTGGAACCAAGCGAAGCCTTTAAGGGAATTTGTAAGGTTCCGCTAAACTACCCAAAGTCCCCGAGTCAGTGTTTGCTAGCAACAGCAGAAGCAACCACGATCCGGTTGAGAAAGCCGATTTTATTCGCGCAAAAGAACCTCCTGCAAGCCCCGAGCTTGGTATGGAAAACGGTTACATAACTGCCTGCATCTTTCCGTGCTTTCTCCCCCTTCCACCCTTCCCCTGCCCGGATTCAACAAACCCACAAGGCCTCGCAACCAGCCAATAACTATCAATCCCGCTCCCCTCCCCTATTCCCATGATTAATTTGCCTATAATGACGAACATAATTGCCAGCGTGTTACTTTTTACCTCCTCCCTATGTAAATGTAATGGCCCGAGAAGAATTTATCAAAAGCTACGTATGCTCGCCAGATCTTCTGAATTATCTGATGGGCATTTCTGCAACTTTAAAACAGAGAGTACTCTGGGGTTTGCAGAGGAAACAGTTGCAAGCTCACCAAGGTGATGAGGTTGAAGCCAGCCTCTTGGAGGAGATCACCTAGTCGAGCACTGTCGATGAAAGGGCTGACGTGAGGGTAGAAGCCGCCCAGACGTTCCATCTCTGCCAACTGGAGGGCGACACGCAACTCAAACAGGGTGTCCATTCCATAGGTGACACCCAGAAAGCAACCATCCGGCTTGAGGCTTCGTAAAACCTACGGGAATAGCAAACGGTCGGTATTTATTGGTACAAAAATAGCGCTGCTGAGCATTTGTAAGTAGCATGTTTTAGTATTATTATTAATGTCTGCTTTAGGCGGCGTACCGGCGGGAAAAGTAGTCGTGAAATAAGTCTGTACATCCGCTTTGCATCAATCCACTTCCTCCGCAGCAAAAAATAGAAATGTGAGTAAATCGTACACATGATGGATTTAAACAATAGTAGAGAACTTACCTGAGAGAAAGTTCCCGGTAGATCGTTGATCCAGTGAAGGCTAAATGAACGAGAAAACGTTCATTATTCAAGTGTTCCCCTCGGCCCGCTACAAAAACTAAAAGTAGTCTATCTTATAGGGCTATCTCATATTCGAATGATTAAAACCTTTGCTTTAATAAAGTCTACCGCAAGCGGTAATTGTGCGAAGAAAGGACACGCATAGACAGAATAATGTAGGACTGTAAATACCCAAGGCAGCTGAGGAAGAGATTGATAGAGTTCTCCTGAAACGGAAGGCTCTCCTCGTCGATATTGAGGAACATGGTTTCAACGTCTGGTGAGGGGTTCGCTTGTTTCTAAAAAAAGTCTTCATTTGTAAATTGCTGCACGTGAGGCGTGACTATAATTGGACGGAGTCGCTCATTCTGACGAATCGTGCGTTAATCCGCATATTCAGTTGCGTGCCTTGTATTCATAATACAGCCTTCATACTGTAAAACGTCTTTTAAAAGCTCATTTACTACTGGGTTTTGTAAAAAGTGGGGTTTTCGCAGGATGTAAGGTACCCCCTGTCCGGCTGAAAAATGAAACTCGACATTTACGAAATGTCCATCTGCGAAACAAGCTCGACATATGTGTTAATTCGAAGATGGAATGCGCCTAGACTTTTCGAGTTTTCCGCTTCGACTCTGCTTGGAATCCAGCTCGAATTGTTATTAGGGAATAAAATAGCCACGTAGTTTTCACATCCGTAATCCCTGTACGCAATGGAGGTTGTCTCCCCATAGCCCCATTGCAGGCATTAGCCTAAAAAAGTGTCAGATACCATGTGGGGAACAATTACAGACTCAGTCATGAGCCTAATCTAAGACATCAGCGACACACGTGACTGGGCTTTCATTTAACGCATTTTTCGAGGTATGCAAAGCCGCAAAGCTTCGCCGTAAATACGCATGCTTAAAAATAATATCCACATAGAGAGTAAGAAATAAAAATCACTCACCAGAGAAAAGAAGAGGGAGAGAATTTTTATGTCAGATTACTTACCAGAATATCCAGGCAACTGTCGCACTGGTAGAGGTAGTTAACAGTATCACTCGTTAAATGTTGGGCTAAGTGTCCACGACCGCAGCCCACATCGACAGCAACGTCGAAAGTTCTACGACAGAGAATGCAAAAGGTCAGGTATTTGTTAAATTAGGACTTGGCTGTGGTGTCAACATACCCTATCTTGCCCGACAAACTGCAGATAAATGCATGGGGCTTTGGCTCCAAGCTTTTAAGCAATTACTTTTTTTTATCAATATCAGCGTCCAAAGTTGTATGCAATTAATTCGCTTAGAGTTGATGGTATAAATTAGCGTGTGCCTTATTCGTTAATTCAATCATTTTCAATTTTCTAAAATGCAGATAGTCAAACGACTTACTTTTCATCCGCACAAGTTAAGTAATGGACGAGGCGGAAGTAACTCTCGGTTTCAGGAGATAGTAGTGATTCAACTTTTTTATACTATTACGAACATTTCACAGGACGTTTAGAGTAAAAGAATGTGATTTATAATCAAACGGAAATCAGAAGAATCGTCTGTGAATAAACAGGGCAACTTCTTGTGCCTGAAGCATAAAACTATTTGCACCAGTTAGGTAAATGCACGCCCTGAGGAAAATGCTACGATTCCCTGTGAGCTTATTTCAAAAAAGAAGGACGTAAAAACGTTTGTTCGAGACAGCACTTTTGTAGTTCTGTTGGGTGCATGCAGCAAGCGGCCGTACTCACAGCAGGCTATCGGTCGGACTACACGAGGCAAACGCAGACGGGCAATCAAGCAATTAATAATCCGAAATTTAAACTTAAATTTAAACTGAGTCACAGCCAATCGGTTCGGTAGCCTAGCCAGAACAGAAGCTGATTGGCTCGATGGATCTAGCTTACTCTTGTTTGTTGACCTAAATATGTTGAACCTGTTACCCTCAAAGACTTGTGCTGACTTGCTTAAAGTGCTTGTCTGATTAGACGCTCTCTCTGGCCAACTGGTCTTTTCTCTGTCTCTCTCGTACGGGCTCTTTGGTTCGGCGTTCGTGTTAATTAGAAATACCAGGAGCGGGTCTTAACAAGTGGCGACGCAGTTTTTAACTCTACGATGGAGGAATTGTGCGTGGACTTGACGTTAATGTTGCAACAGCAGCTGAAGCTGATGGAAACCCTCGCCACCAATGGAGTTCTGCTGGTAGCTCACAATCTGTCGATTCCATCGCCGGCAGCATCACCGAAGTCTTGTGTGACCCGCAGGCCCAAGTTACTTTTGACTCCTGGTACAAACGATACGAGGATTTATTTTCTGTCGATCTGGCTGCCCAGGAAGACGCATGGAAGGTACAACTCCTTCGCAAACTGGGTCCTGCCGAGATCGGACGTTATGCCAGCTTCATCCTGCCGAAGAATCCACGGGACATTTCCTTCGCGGACACGCTGAAGACGTTGTCGCAGAT